TCTGAAATTTTAAAAACATATGCAACCTTTTCAAACGATTCCCGCACTAATGATGGTCGTGCACATCTAACCATTACAAAATTGTTAATCGAAACATGTAACCCGTTGGAACATTCGGTAAATCTAATATACTTTCTCTAGCAAATATAAAAATATTTATTATTGATATTAATTAATAAGCAAATATTTCTTCAAGTTCTTTAAATGTTTATAATAAATATATCATAAACTTGTGTATCTCTGAGTGAATTTACGCTATTTACGGCTGTTTAAGGAATTCTTTCGATTTTGCACAAAATCTTACATTGAAAAATTTCACTCTACTTCTAAAAAATAATTTTGCAGCAAATAAAGAAAGAAATGTTTATTAAAACTTTCGTTTAGTATTTATGGGCAGATCTCGTTCACTGTTAAGTAATACTAACGGAGTTGATTTCAAAGAATTTATGCTTACTTCTATTGCTTTTAGAATTTTAGAATGGAGTTGTGACCTATGACTAAATCCCCTCAAATTGTCTAAACGAGAAGAGTCAACTACTTAGCCTATTTCTAGATATTTGCAAATGATCATAAAGTGATTATGATGAAAGTCGCACTTGCTTTCCGTTATTACAAGAAAATGGATTCATATATATCCTCGGAAACGGCGGTAGCAAGATGAAACCGGCTACGATTACGGTAACAGTTTTCATTCAATCATGTCATTAACCTTAAAAAGATATTCATTTTGACGGAAAGGTGTCAATGTATCCGTATAACAGCTCATTAATGGATTCGATAGTTGTAACTTTTTCTTTTTTTTTTTTTTTTTACTGAATTTGATTATATTATAATTTCTCACTTTTATTATGCTCTTAATACGTTTATAAGTCTTAGAAAGGCTTTTAACTCTTTTCAGATTTATTGCTTTTTCTTTGGAAATTGTTTTAGAAAAACCAATGAATGAGAATAAGTATAAGTAAAACTCATATATGTTTTATGTTAATTTGGAAGCATTTAAATTCACATAAAACAACAACAACACAAATAACATTGACAATAACTCAAAGCTATTGGAGTTTATGGCGATACGTATCGCATGGCTCATTTTTTATTTGTTTATTTTTAAGGAGAAATTTCATTAGAAATTTATGTTGTGTGCATCGGTTAAAGGTGTCTGCAATCAATCACTTACAATGTTTATAAGAGAGTTATTAGGTTTCTTTTTTCTTTTTTTTTTTTTTTTTTTTTTTATTCTTTTATGAAGAAAAACGAGTTCAAATATATTAAAAATTCTATCGAAATTCAAATGAAATTAACATAAATTAATTATGAAGTAAATTAGTTTTGTTGACAGTTAACACGTTGGGTGGTATGCAAGTCATACTTGTCTTAGCTTATGAAATCAAAAGCAAGAAGTAAATTGTATTGTCGAGTATAGACATCGTTAGAAATCCCGTCAATATTGACAGTTTTTTTTATCAGCTAACCTTTCAATGTTATCATTGGTTACTTCACTTTAACTGTTAACCATATGGCAAAGTATAAGATAATAAATTTTTTTTTTTTTTTTTATTTATTGTCAAACTAATCAACATATGTATGAAATGTGTATTACACGCCTCTCCTTTATAGTGCCACTAATTAGTGTACGTGCTTGCTTTCTGCAATCGTAAACGCACGGACGCACTCACATACTCTTCCTTCTTCGTGAATAATATATCTTGAAAGAGACGAAAGTTGCAAAAATTTGTGCAAGAGTTTCAAAATAGCTTAGAGTTGAACAATTAATGCTTTGGACAGTCAAGTAAGTCAGTGAGAAATTGCAAAGAGGAAAACGGGAAGTCGAATGTGATATCTAGGAATTTAAATCAGTAGCATTTAACAAACTTGCACATAAAACAGCAATAACAACAATAACTGCAACAACGGCAACAACAACAACAACAACAACAACAACGACAGACAAAAACACAACAATAACAATCAACGCGATAAAAACTGACAAAACTCATTTGTTTAAATGTAAAACATGACAACAGTTAAAGATAAAGCACAGGATGATACCGGTACGATGATGACGATCATGGCGATGATCATTATGATGATGCGGAAAATTTTTTTTATAAAATATACACTTGTTACCGCAATCCCAGGAATTAGATATTAAATATGAGCGGCATTAGTCGAGAACGTGAGATCCATCGGGAGCTTACAGTTGCTGCGTCATACCGTTAATTAATACTTGAAATAATTCGAATTCGATTTTGGGAAAAAAGTTGAAAAAGCTTTTCATTAAACATCATATTATTATATACAAAGATTTTTTATTGGAAGAACGAAAGACTACAGTTTTGTTAATGGTTTTAATCTGCTGTATAATGTAAGCGATCTATTCCGGTGTGTGTAAAGCTCCAGCCAATGTAGATCTCTTGATTAAAAAGCTATCTGTGTGGAGATATACGCAACTAGGACCAGACAAAAGGCCTCTCCCAAAGCTGCAGTGCAGATGCATGCAAAAGCGAACTGTTATCTCGACCACCATGCTTTCTCTGAGTTTTCGCCGGGTATGTTCGCCAGGTATGCAGATATATAAAAATCTATATATATGTAGATATGTGCTTGCAAGAAGAAGAAACCTAAAAGTTCACCTATTCATGATAGGGGACCTGAACTGAAACGAAAATTGTGATCTGTTCTAACCTGATTAATTTCCGCTTATCTGGTGCACACTTACTTGGTGCTTTACAAACAGCGTTTGTCAAGTGTTGCTTGGGAACATGTGCAGAGCGTTAATATCTCTTTGCACACTAAAGGTAAGTAAGTGAGACACTATTGTCTTGACTGAACTTGCCCAGCAAGGATATTTGCAGAAGCTTTTAAAAGGCGGTTGATGTTGTGTCATAGTTGTATCTGTTTTGCTCATGCATTGCATGCATTGAAGACATGATTCTGATAATCTTTAAGGTTTCTTTTTAACCCATTCTAAGCTTAGAGAAAGCTATTTGTCTTATCTTAGGTGAAAGAAGTCTTTATAACTAACGCAGCGATCGCACATTTTCAACAACAGCAAATACTCTCACAACGGTCCTACTATTGTCGTCGGAGAAAATTGTACAGATTGCGAACTTAATTTAATTAAACCTATAATCCATCTGCAGTCAAGTGCTACGAATTTTGATAGTATCTTGTCCACTAAGGAAAGTTTTCACTGTTCGCGTTTATTAACACATATATATTTAATTATGTTAAGTTTTCTTCTGCAGCATCTTCTCTTCGTTACAACGGATAAGCAGTTGTTGACAAGTTATTGCGCAACTAAGTTTCTAAGCTCGTGTATGGGGATAAAACCGTTGGCATATGCATGCGGTTAATTTTGTTTAGTGCAAAGATCTCAAAGAATAGATATAACATGTGATGAATTTTTATTATAGCACCTTAATGGTGTAGCATCGTTTTACTGGCAAGTAACTAAAGTGAATTCCGCATAAACATTTTAACCCATATCGCTTAAATACTCTCTTCTTCTACTCTCAAGACTAATGCAACTAAGCTTACAAGCGATTCAATAAAACACGAATGTATATAGAATAATCTGAAATTTTTTCGTTTAAGTATCAATTAAGTACGAAGTAATGAATTTTCAAAAAACTTGATTTTCTTTACATTTTTCTTCAAACTATTTAAATATATTCTAAAAGAAGAAATTTAATAAGAAGTTTTTTTTTTTTTTTTTTTTTTTTTTTTTTTTTTTTTTTTTTTTTTTTAAGGTTTCTATATAAACACGAAAGAAGAAAACTCATCGCCCTATGACTGACATACGGTGTATGGGATATCTTTTAACCCTTTAAACTCATAAAATTGTGGTAATTAAGTAAAATCCAACAACAATAGCTTTAACGTTGTTAACTAAACACACATTTTATTAACGCAATTAATTATAACTGACTACAGAGATCTCAGAGACATGTCCAGACTCACATGTTTATGATATCAGACGCTTAACAGATGAACGCACAAGTTAAGAGTTCCAAAGCCACACACATAACTCTATGCAACAATAATAATAACAAGCATATGATCAGAACGTAACGATGATATACAATATCTAAAAGTAAAGAGAAAAAAAAAAAAATATATATATATATAGAGAGAGAGAGAGAGAAATATAGGGAGAGTAAGAAACAAATGTCGTCGTTAATGCGCCGACGAAAACAAAAAAAGAGTTATAAACGGGAAATAATATACATTTTATGAAACTACAAAAGAAACGTAAATGATGCTATTGCTAATTAACACCAGCAAAGTAAGCAAGCACATCCTTCCGTAAGAAAGAGGGCCGCTGTAATGAAATAGATTAGAAAACAGGCAACGCATGGCGATAAGAAGTGGTAAAAAAGTAAATAACCAAGATCATGAGAATCGAAAAGAGAATGCATTCGATTGGAGAGAGAGAGAGAGAGAGCAAAGAAGCAAAAGAGCTAGACCGAGAGAGAGAGAGAGAGAGAGAGAATAAGATGTGAAGAGATATTTTTAAAGCCGAGAGTTTGTTTTCATTAAAAAGATCGTGCATTGGTTGATTCGGCTTAACCGGAAAAATACGCCTTCAAATGCTACTGCTGTAGAGTTATGCTATCATATATAGTTGTTGTTATTTTAAAAATACTCGATCACCTTTAAGCCACTTTGCCATGTTTTATCTATAGAGTTAACGTTATGTCAACAAGTTCACACATAAAAGGCAAAAAAAAAAAGAAATGTGAGAAGAGAAGCTGTTTTAGTTTTTTGCGTTCTTTAGTTAATTAAAAAAAAAAAAAAACACAAAGAGCCTGTTAAGTGGAGCTCGGTTTTAATTAAACGGCTGCGATTTAATGTGATGTAAGTCCGCTGTCAATATCATAAATGGATCATAACGTATTTTGACGTGTACCTTGAAACGTCGGTTAAACGCGGAATATTTTTTTAAAAAAATTTGCTTTCGTAATAATACGAAAAGAAACGGTGTTTATGTCTCATGTAGAATGAACGATTTGAAGATGGGTTTCAAACATACGCTTTTGGAACGTTTACATGGTTTAGAAATGGCTTTGCCGCATAAATCTAACGGTAATCCAAAGAATATGGAAACGATCAATAATACGCAAGTTACTGATTTCAGTATACAAAGAATTTTAGGAGAAGTTAAAGAGAAAACCTCACAATCAACATCAAGTCCGTTACGAACAACAAAAACTGGAATTTCAGCAGCGACTACATTATTATCAACAGCCTTTCCATCCAATCCTCAGCTAGTGCAACCAGTGCCAAAAAAACCCTTCGTTTGCCCAGATATATTGGATTTATCAAAAAATAAATCTTCTCATAGCCAAGCTCAACCAGTTGTCACAAATCCTCCGACCGCTTTAGAGCTACCGTACTTCAATCCAGCGAACTGTGGAATGTTAAATCCAGGCTTTTTGGCAGCGGTAGCAGCAGCGAATGCTCAAAAATTTTACGCGCAATTCTTTCCGCATATGTTTACTGCCGCCGGGATTTACACAAACAATGCTAACAGCAACTTTAATCGTTTACCACAGCATAATTCTTATGCGAGACGGTATTTTGCTCCTTACATATTAAGTCCACCTATAAATAACGTTACGTCAACTCAACTGCAGCAACGATTAACATCGTCAACCCGTCTCCCCAACTCGGAGCATATATCACAACATCCGGCTTCTTCCAAATTTGTATGTGCACGCAGTAATTGCTTAGACTGTTTAAATTCATTTTACAAGCACTCTTCAGTGACGACTTCATATCCATATAATTCGTCTTTAATGTTTCCTGCGGTTACAACCACATCTGTAAGCACTACGAACACATACCTAGAGAAATCGAAACCAACCACTGATTTAATATTGGAGTCATCCTCAAATCTAGCCTTGACAGCTGCAACCAATATTCAAGTGACTGCAACTAGAAAAGTGTCGTCAAGCAGCGCTTTTGATCCGCCCTCAACTTTAATTTCCAATACCGAAGAAATTAGTTATAAATGCCGAATTTGTGAAAAGGTTTTCGGCTGTTCACAAACGTTACAGGTGAGTTGTAAAACTGGAAAAGTGAACTGAATTTTTAAAAAAGTAAATGAAAGAAAAGCTCTTCTAAAGCCATGAAATTAATATGACAAGGGACATTGGGGAACACAATTATATCTTCCCAGTAAAATATGCAATGGCCTACTCACGAGATATATGCGTGATCAGCTTAAAGCTAAATATCGGTTTGATCGTCCATTGTGTGTTTATCAATCCCAGCTCTTACCGGTTGCTGATATTCTCAAAGTCAAACACATCTGAAGTCTTAATTGAAGGGTTTAGAGACATTTGCTTCAAACTTCTTCGCAATCAACTACAATTAAATTCCGAAAATTTTGATATTTCTTCGTCAATAGACAAGGAATGACGTAGATCTGGTACTTAAAGGAAATTTGATTTCTACATCCGTAATAGTCTTCTTTAGCCTCACTTTGTATACAAGCCATCTACAGCAAATATATGATGACCGTATTATCAATAGGTCGATTAGAGTCATTTTTACTTGAACGATCTGCACGACCTTGATAAATACTTACCGCAAATTTCGGGATAATATCGGTTTTATAAGTCGAAAGTTCACGTATCAACGTAACATTTGTCCAGCACGAGTCTATTTTAAAAATGTTCATAAAACTTCTCGCAATAATTTTTGTTCTCTAAATTGCTAACACTCAACCACCTTGCCTCGCGGAATTTGAGCACAATCTGTCATCGAATGTTTGCTGCTATTTTGTTAATAATCCTATAAAGTGTTAAGTGATTTACATCAATAAGAAAAGCAGTTGAAAAACAGCTTCATTTAACTTTCCTCTTGCAGAGAAAAATGCGAACACATGCAGCAAATGTTGCATATCAAAGACGAACAAACGATACGATAAAGTATGGCAGCAACAATTTAGGTGACGTGTATTTGTCTTCTCGACAAATAGCAAAATACACAGAGAGAAAAATTAAATTTAACGGTACATTTATAAAACATTCAAAAAGCCCCGGGAAGAGTTCATTTCATTCTAATCGCTATACAGCAAGCAAGCACAAGAAGAACATAAGCAAAATATTTGGCCTAACAAATGAATATATGAAGATATATGAAGTCCGTCCATGACAGAAAATGAAATGAATTGGTAATGAAAACTCATGCCACGTGGCCGGAATGAAAGGTATTCAGTTTTATTTGCCGATATGCAAAAATTTTCAGATAAAAGTTCGATGAATGGGATCGAAAAATTATTATCCGACATTTTGCTGATATCGGAACTAGACTTACCATTTGATGAAAAAAGATTGGAGGCAAATGCAAGCTGGAACAATTGATAGCCAGGCACTAAAACTGCATTTCACTAAAAACTGCATAGTAGACTAGGTGACGCGCTGATATTGCCAAAATGGACGACAAAGTAAATTTCAAAAAATAATTGTTATGCTCCGTACTAATTGTGGTACAAGAGCATATTAAGTTTGTGCGGATATATGCGATGCCCCGAAGAAGCTGAAGTAGATCCCCTTTTTATTTTGCCGATCAATTGCGGATTACTTTCTGAACCGATTTGAACCAGTTTGCCCGTTCCGGTGTGTTTAACGTACAGGCCGCAATTTTTTAGATATTTTGATGAAATTTCGTACATTGACGTTTTTGGCCCATGGGTGGGCGTTATTGAAAATGATTTGCATCGGGCTACTCTTTCGATCACTTTCCGTGTAACGCCTTATTTTGAAAAGTAGTTACATGAATAAACGTTTGTGATGGTGTAGGATATTTAATGATGGGCCGTCTCCCACTATAGCGTTCTTACTTGATTTTTGCTTAACAACTCCCAATACCATTACATGTCTAGATATATATATTTTGTGTTTACTATTTTCGAAATTTTTGCGAACCCCACTCTCTCTTCTTTTGCTACGAAAATGTGCCTTCCAAGGCCATTATCCTACCTATATTTTATATCACTTGTGGTGAAGGCACATTAGATTCATGAACACGTATAGAATAGCTTGATATGAACACACACTTTGTTATGTCTACTATATTCTGATCTACAAAGCGATTGTCAGCCGAAGCATTTCTATCGGTCTAACGTCTGTCTTTATTTCTTCAATCTCGAGGTCACTATTTTTGAGATATTTTGATATCCCGAAATGGTTTCATGGATCAAATATGAATGACATTAAAAAAATAATTGGATCGGATCATTTTTATGATAACTCCCTATATAGAAACTGTGGCTATGTAAAAAATCTTTGCGATCTTTAAAGTTCCTCGACAAAAATGGAACATGGGGAACATGGAGACGTGATCATTTCTTGAATCTTCTTCTCCTTAAACATGCATTTAATACTATTCAAATATTTTTCCAATCCAAAATAAGTTTGAATCAAAAGACCAACTGATACTAAATCGATCGGTATAATAAAAGGTAGATATCACGTAAGTTCTTCTAGATGGTACGCATACATCCAAACGAACTTAGTATACCCTTTATCACAAGTGTTGAAGGATATAAGCAGAATTTTTATTTAAATTACGAATGCTTTAAGGAGAACGCTCGTCTTCGTATACAATGATGAAGAAATTAATTGCCATACCTTAACAAGGTCGCATAATAGCATTTGAACATTTAGCAAAATTGTTTTAAGCATTTTTTTTTTTTTTACTGAGTAAATAAGTTATTGCTACTTCTATATGGGTTCTTGACCTTCTAAAAAAACGCCCCTTTAAACGTGAAATAAAATAAGAATAAGAATAAAGAATTGGGAAGGCCTTACGAACAATGCAACAAACTCAAAGAGGAGCATGCGAAACAATGTTGCCTCGTACTTGGATTTTCGGAACTGATTGATATTTACCAAAAACGCGAAAAAAAAAAAACGCTTACCTAATAAACTTTTGACTTTTATTTTATTTTCTGCTTTTTAAACTTCTAAAAAATTAACTTAGGTTTGTTTTTAAATTTAGAAAACTACATTATACAGAGATAATGAGTCGAGCTTACTTAGAACACTCTACCTTCCGTTTGCGTAATAAGAACTGCAATCACTGTTGTTGTTCGAATAGAATTAAAATCGGAAACTATATATAAGTGACAGAAGTTCGATAATAACAATTGACAGAACCAAGGTCGCAGATATCTTATATGAAGGCCTTTCGAAAAATTGACACGAGCAGAACAAGCGAATCTTATAGAAACATGGTGTACTTTTTCTCTCTAAGTCCGATTCGTTGTTTGCTTATTTTTCAGGCGCACGAGAAAACCCATAAATCACCGCGTTATGAGTGCTCCGATTGCGGTAAAGGATTCTCCCAATTGCGCAATTATAAGTATCATTTATCCGTTCATCGAGGTACCAAAGAATTTGCCGCTGAATGTCCAGAATGCGGTAAAACATTTAATGACAAAGGTTATCTTAGCAGTCATATGAAAATACATCGTAATAAGAAAGAATACGAGTGCCCTTACTGCCCGAAATCGTTTAATCAACGTGTTGCATTCAACATGCATGTACGCATTCATACTGGCGTTAAGCCGCATAAATGCGTCGAATGCGGTAAACGTTTCTCGCGGAAAATGCTTTTGAAGCAACACATGCGTACGCATAGCGGTGAAAAGCCATATCAATGTTCGGTTTGTGGCAAATCGTTCGCCGATCGAAGTAATATGACTTTACATCATCGTTTGCATTCAGGCATTAAACCGTTTAATTGTCCCATTTGCCCGAAAGCATTTACGAAGAAACATCATTTGAAAACACATCTGAACTATCATACCGGTTGTAAGCCGTATGTGTGTCCACATCCAAATTGCAATCAAGCGTTTACACAGTCTAGCAATATGCGGACACATGCCAAGAAATGTCAATATAAACCGTTACAATTGCCATATCCGGCGGCAACCAATGCAACGGTTTCAGCGATAAATTCACCAGCCAATGCATTGATGAGCAATACGTTATCATCGTTAGCGATTCATAATAATAACGGTTTGATTGTAAACGCATCAGCATCGACGGCAGCAGCAACGGCGACTTTACAAGCTAACAGCAACATTCCTGTAATACCATCAACGACTTTATCGGCCGGAATTCGGATGTTAAATAGTGCAGCGTCTGCGGCCGCAGTTGCAGTCACTCCGTCAATTGCCGGGCAATCTGCTGCATTTCCGCCTGCTCAACAACCTTTGCTATCTACGCTGCGTCCGTTTTAAACATTTAATTGTCATCCAATTTAAAACTGCCTGACATTTCGAACAACAATTACATTGATGTACAAACAACTTGTGGTAGCATGTTTTTTTGTCTCCTCATTATTTAATGATCTTTTTATTTTTATTTATTTGTTTTTGCTTTTTTTTTTTTTTTTTTTTTTTTTTGTACATTTAAGTGTTTTCTCTTTGCTTCCTCTGTGATATAATTGAATTTCGATTTAATGAAGATTTCTTAAGAAATAAGTGATTTATTATAGGATTAAGTTCTTATCAATGTATGTGTAAATAAAATAAAGTTTGAAGGAAATAATTTAAAAGCTCGGATTTTTGATGAAAACATTAATTGAATGAATTTCTAAATGAAATTCGACCGTTTTTGGATCGATTGATAAATGGCAACGAAAAGTGCTTAGTGTGGTGCGGCAAAAATTCATATTCCAAGATGGATGCAAGCGGCGACAATCAGTGATTGACATTCTACAGAGTAATCTTCTCGTGGAGTTGCAAGAGAATGATTCATGACGCGTGGCTCCAAACTGACCACATAGGTTGCTCCACTCTCTACCATCAACAATCAATGCAATTAAATCACTGAATTGTGGTAGGGTGTCCGAAATTATAATGGGAAACGTGGTCTCTCATAGCGGAAATGGCAAAACAAACACATACATTACCAAAGGCTCGAGAAAGATTGAGAGAGCTTGACTGAGCAATATTAATGCATCCGCCGATTACCGCCTCTTTCACTCTCTGTAGGACTCTTGTTAGCTTACTTGAAAAAAGGCCTACGAAAATTGCTTGGTTTAGTGTGTCGTTGAGAAATCCCAGAAGTAATGGTGGCAAAGATCATTGATCAAATGGCACATACATATAAAAACTATTTGAACTTTGCGCAACAACAAGAACGCCATGAAGTTCAACAATAATAAATATGTTACTATTATTGAAGCACGAAGGAACTGTTATTCTTATGTTCAAAAAATTCGCATACAATTATCACTGTCCTGCGGTGTGAAACCCACAAATTTTGCAAGTTTAGACTGACTGAAAAAGCCAAGGAATAATAACTCTTCTCGACTACATATTCGATTGCTTGTGATCAAGAAATGGTCACAATTCTAAGAAGATCAATACTTTAGTCCTGATTACTGTGATTTCGGCAATTGAAAGTTAGTTGTATGCTACTATGAAAAAATGCCGCGAAAATTCCTCTCGCACCACATCTTGGTTGAAACGTATTTTTTTGGCACATAAGTAAGACATTAAGTTGGCAAAAACTCCTTGCCTGAATAAAAGGCAAAGTTCATCGCTTCCGCTTGCTTTCTTCTAATACAACAACTAAAGCAGACCCTCACGACCATGGCGCATATAAGCTGTTATTTTTGATGCCTCGAAGATTTTCGGAAACATTTTTTCAAACAATTTCTTACGAATTGGAAAATTTTAAACAAACTCCGTGTCTAACATTTTGATTCATCCAAAATTGCACTCAACGCGATGTGTACAAATAGTTTTCCCTGTAAAGTCATCTGTTCGCCATGTTTGGATGCCGAGGCAACAACCAAGCATGTTATGAAACGGAGAATATGATTGGAAGCAGGATTTTATCGAGCAATCTGTCCCGCCATATGTTAGAGTGCGACAATGGTTGTCAAAGATGACTATAGGGCTATGATAGTCGATTTGAGAAGATCAAGACGCAGTACACAGGCCACGCGTAACGATTTGAAGTAAGGCTCATCCCGTGTGTTTCGTGTGCACACTTCGTGAAAGCTAACTCTTGTATTAATTATTTATGTACTTAGGCGACGACAATTTGAATATTGACAGAATCGAATGAAATAACGTATGAATGCTTCACCGATTACTATTAATGCGATCTCCTTATTTAAATGTAGCCTCGAATGGTTAAAATGATTCCCCATCAGGGGACAAGGCCTTCAAAGCATTTCCCCTAGTTAAAAAGAAAGCTTTTCCATTCAGGACATTTCTTAACTGTGCTTTTCCAAAATAAAAAATCTCTATATATATAAAGAATATAAAGAATGACAGTATCTTTATTATTGGAAATATTAGACAAGTATTAAAAGTGCAGTAATTCAAACTCACGGTTATCTAAATATAAAGAATTAATAAAAGTAAAAGCAAAAAATATTTTGACAACTGTTTGACTTTACCATTTGACTCGACAAATTCCGTTTAGCGACTCACACTTGTTTCTTTGCAATGTTACTTCATTCGTTTAACTGCCCGCTATTCAACTCTCCACTGTCTAGTGCACTTCTAAATGTCTACACTTTACGCGTATGGATGGCTTCACTTGCCAAATCGATTAACTCCATTTTTGGAATTTTATTAAATTTTAATATCAAAGCACTTCATTAGCTGCTAACTGTACATATTCAAAACGAATTTCTCTAATAATAAGTATTAATGCCACTAAATGACAAAATCATTTGGCCACTGAATAATAAATAATTTATTTACAATATTTTGTAATTTTTCTCAACTCCTTGTTTAATGGATTTAATCGATTTGGCAAGTGAAGCATCCTTACATCGAATGTGTACAGCTTGAATACCCCAACAGAGGAAATTTGAACTAAGCAATGGTTTGCTCTATCGGCTGTGTTTAGTCCGTGTGTCTTCGTACAAAAGCTTTTAAGTGAAAGCCTATATCGAAACTGGCTGCCCAAGCCTTTGATGAAAAAAACAAAAGAAAAAGTTTATTGGTGCGAAATCGAGAATAGTACTAAATGGATCTACCATGAACTACTGCAGATGTTAGTGGCAATAATTTTGTCTTTTTCTTTTTTTTTTTTGTGATACGATATTCGCATAACACAATGATGGTCGGAAATAAATGAGGAAAGAGAAATGGAGACGAGGATGCAGCCTAGTTGGTGTATATAATTCGTAACAGTTACTCCTTTACCGGCTGAGTATCCACTACAACTACGCTCGTAGTAAATTGTACCTCAATGAGATTTGAAAGCGCGTACACTGACCTGGTGGCGGCGATTCTCACCTACACACTTGCTCATATTGCCTGAAAGGTGAAAGCACAATTGACCAAAGGCAGACCATAAGCAACGAAAGCTTTTCATCTTATCTCTTTTCTTTTGACCTTGTTTTTTAATCTTAATCTTGTCTTTTTCTGACGTTAATTTCAAACAAGGAAAGCTATTGATTTATTAATTTGTGTAGAAGAAGAAATTGCGAAAGTAAAATCGTTTAATTCTTAGACTTAACACTTGTCATTCAACATATACACACACATTTAAAATATAATTAAACATAGCGTATGCCGTACATCGGTATATATTTCTTAGAAAATCTTAGAAAAAACCACGATTTCGTTTCCCAACTAATACATGCATTATACAATACAATATTCTTCTTATGTTCGTAATATGAGTGAAGGGCGAAATAACTGAGAATATCTGTTGGAATTTTGCTTTATGAAATTGCATATACCCTCAGTAGTAGTAGCTTTCATCGAATCTACGCAAAAAGTTAAGATATGTTTGGCATTTTTCCATTTATATTTAAATGGTTGGCAGATGGCAGATACCAATTAAATACTTTGTCCTTGTATAGAACTAAACAAATATTCCCACACCTAGAAGTACTGTTTGTGCACTTAATTAAATTAACTCCGATATAATGCCGTAAAAGCATCAAAAGGCCGAGAAGGAAAAAAAAACCGATTTATTTCTTCTTGGGACATGTTTTAATGTCTACATTAAGTCTTAACATAAACCACTTACATAAGTTTAAAATTGTTAACAATTTTGATTAAAATAATTACGTGGCTAAGTCGATATCAACGACATCAACGGCGGCAAAGCATCAATTATTTCATCATCTTCGATTGTCGACAAGGTTTCAACACAATTTTCAATGCTTTCCTAATAGAAATCATAAATCCAACGCTAAACCATAAATCCTCGGCAATATTCTGTCAATTTCTTGAATGTCAATTAAGGCTTATATAAAAGAGAAAAATACAGATGACGATGAAGGCGAAGAAGAAGAAGAAGAAAATGAAAAACGAATAAAACAAATAATAAAAAAATAAAAAGTAATAACAACAATGCCAACAAAAACAAATTCTTCTTTTCTTTAACTTCATGATCAACTCACTGTAAGATTTTAAAAGGGTTTTTTTAGCAGCGTGCGTATGGAAAGGATAAGAAAAAAAAAAAAACGCTAAGAAACAAGTGATCGATCATGTTGCTGTTGTTATAAACAAGCAAACGAAATAATGTCTACTGTAAAACGTGTTCATAAATATTGACAATTTATAAAGCGTTCGACAGCCAATTGACAGCTAATTGACAAGTGACAAAAACCACAAAAACAAATTGCGCACGTGACGCCAAACACCACCACCACCACCACCTCCAGCACCGTCAAGATGACATACGCTGTGTTTTTGTTTTTGTTATTTCTTTCTTTTTTTTTTCTAGGTGTTTTGTCGGTTAAGCATGTCCAAGCATTTAACCGCTTTTGCATTACGCTAAAGAAAAATCGGCTTTTGCTACCAAAAGCTGTTGAGAAAGTTCAGGCAAGAAAAAAAGAGGCCGAATTGCATAGCGTAGCAAGTTCTCTTAAACAAGTTTTTCTTAAGAGTGTATACGTTTTGCAAAGCATCCGCGTATATGTGTGTTCGTTTGTTTGTGTTTGTGTGTGCGTTTGCGCGTTTGTTTGTGTACGTTGTAATGTTAGGGGACGTGCATGAATGTTCTGCTGTTGTTGTTGTTGTTGTTCGCACAGCACCATATATTAAACTTGCGACTTGCGCGCATTTAGGCTTTGTTGTGTGTGAAGTTAGTAAATTTAATCGATTGCTCCTTTGAGTATTGATTGTGTTTTCTTATTATTATTATTATTATTATTAAATGGTTGTTGATTGACTATGCGACTTGATGTGTATGTCTGACTATAAATGTATGTGTATATGTGAATGCCTATGTGTATATGTATGTGTATACATAT